CCGAATCTCTGCCCTGTAAGGATACAGGATTGACCCACCAAAATGAATTTTCCTCATGAAAAGGGCAATTTTCTCCAACTGACAAATTAAGTTTGTGAACGCCCACTTTCAGGCATTACTGCAAACCCATGACGTAGTGGCGCACGAGGTCTATGGGGAAGACGCCATTCGCGTGACGCCGCCTCCGCTGATGCCGTACCTGAACGGAGACACAGATGCTGATGTGGCGCCTCAATTTGACGGAGAGATGGAGAATGTGACGAGGGTTCGTCTGGTACAGTTCCAAAAAGCTGCTGATGAGGCTATGGTGAGATTTCTTTCTAAATAAAATGATTTTTTTTAATAACTTTATTCACTCAAAGAAAATAAGATAATATACATATATAATGAAATATTTAAATAGATAATCAAAAATTAAATGCATATAATACTGGTGAAAATTATGGTAATTAATGATGCTGTATAAATAAAATGATGTTGTACAAGTCTGATATGCTGTTTAGGATTATGGGAGTGATATGAAGATACAGAATGAAGTATAAAAATACATATTTAGAACTTTTATGAAACAGTAGACTTGGCGTAGATTTTAATTTCATCCAAATATATCACAGAAGTAAAGTTTATTTTACATAAAATGCAGTGAATTTTGATATAAAACCAATATTGAGCATTGTAAGTTATTAACATATGTAAGTAATCAAAGTGATAAGTTGTTTTAATTCAACATTTTAAAATATATATTTTGAAATTATATATATACGATTTGTTTTGCAGTATTTAGGTTTTTCCATCTTGTTCTTTTCTTGTTCAATATTGATGTGGTTGTGTTTGCATTTTATTCATTAATTCGAACAGTAGCACCTTTCAGTAGCCCTTTTCTATTTCTTATAGAAAGAAAAAACACCATTTTGCAATTTTACTGCTTGATTATAGATATTCCCTTTAGACACTTGTGCAACCTACTGTGTTACATTACTTTAAGTGTTATTAAAGGACAATGTTCATGTAAAAATCCATTTCTCGAATTTTGAAGATACAGCACTCAATCTATACACTAGAGGTATGTTTTAATCGATCCCCGCCATTTAAAAATTATAAAAACAATCTATTAGTAGAAAAAAACCGTTTTAGTAAACCTCACCTCAATATGCANTACCCTACGATTAACTTAAATTTGATTGTACCATTTTTAGTTTCATATATTATTTGCATATATTGAAAATTCTTGTTGATTTCATGTTTACATCTTGTCAAGCACAAGACTGGTGGCTGTGTCCCTTATTTTGTGTATGTGGGGTTCTATACGAATGCGCTTGCTCCAGCTGGTGGTACAATATTTGGAGGCGGTATCGCCTCTCTGATCCTCTAGTTAGGGATCTAGGTTTTCCTAGGTTTTCCAACTTGGAAATCCCAAGGTCACCTGTCTGCTTGACGGTACAATGGAGTCCCTGATTTAAATACGCATATACTGGATCAAGTTTAAATTTATTTAAAAGTATACCAACATGTTTGAAATATCCCAGCTGCATATGGCTGTATTTTTCCAATTCAGACATTAAAAATGATAAAAATCCTCAAGTAGAAGTATCTGATACCAACATCTCATTCAGAAATGTCAGGAAGACTGTGATGAACTAAATGTACGGAGAAATATTTAGAACTGTATTATGAAATTAGAAGTGGTTGAAAACCTCAAACCCTCATGCAGAAATATGTTGTGCAATGATACTTGAATTTTTTTCTCTCCAGAAATTTTAGATTTGGTGAAAAATTTTGGTAGATTTGGAGAGGATATCTCTAAGTAAAGGGAAGATTCATCACACATTGTCTTATTTTAGTTTCAATGTTTAGCAATATGGTGTATTGTTTACCTTAGCCTGGTTTCCTTGTTTAGAAATGTTGTGTGTTAGATCCTGACCACACTGATTAGTATGGAATAAACTCATAAACCTGAATGGTATAATTTTTGGGATTTGCCAATTGTTCTATATGGTATATAAAGGCCACATAATAGAGATTTTGCATGGTTTTGTTTTCCTTCTTTTAACATGGATCAACCATTGCAGTCCAAGGCCTATAGCTAGTTGCTTCCGATAGTTTTTCCTACCATAACCTAATCTTTCCAACATATGCTGGCTTATCTTAATGAAATATTAAACATGTTTTACTTTGCCAAAGAAATGGAATAAATCATGCAATGTCAAGTCCAAATTCACTGATGTTATTCCACAAGATGTGATATACCTTGCTGAGGAGCAAAAGCACAGATAATGCATCACAAGCTTTATCTATATATATTTTTTTTTCTTTTTTTTTTTTTCCTTTTTTTTTTAATCCCAGGGAAGCATTGCTAGCATATGTATCTTTTCTACAGTGCAAGTACAGAATCTTTCACAAAATATATTGACATACTGCCTAATTTATCATGGTCTTGATGCCATTAAAGAACCTGAAAGGTGCAAATCTTATGGATCGCCAACCATTTTCAAGCAAGATACAGTGCTCTTCGGGGCTGAAGAGAGGGGTTGTAGAGGGGTTTGAAAGATTTGATTTAGGTTCTATGCCATTTCTCAAATTGGGTAAACTGAGAGGATAAAAAAGTTCATTTTTCAGAAAATTTAAAGGATCTCTCTTTCTACCCCTCTTACTGCCCCACTTTCTCTCTCTCTCTCTCTCTCTTTCTCTTTCTCTCTCTCTCTCTCTCTCTCTCTTTCTCTTTCTCTCTCTCTCTGTCTCTCTCTCTCTCTCTCTCTTTCTCTCTCTCAACTTGAACATTGCTGGCAACAGATCTTCCCCGATTACCAGTCAGAATTTATGTAATTAGTATAAGAATTATGATTCTTTCTCTCCAAATCCCCGCGTGCTGTAACAGTTAATAGAAGTTTATTGGAAGGAGTATAACGATTTCCAGGGTAAGCATGCGTCACTTGTTAGCAAGAGACTACTCCTGGCTGCTCAACCCCTGGACTGTTGGAGCCAGAACTATTGATCATTGTTTACTTCAGCCAATATTTGTGTCTCTAGGACTGTTTATTGCTGGTGAATTCTGAGATACACAGGAAAGTAGACGTAAGGCATGAATAAGGCATAGAGTAGTTATTATGTTTTTAGGCGCCATTCCCATAGCCATCGGTCCACGTACATAGATCCAACTCCGCAGGAGCTCTTGCTGAATGCAAGCAGTTTAGCAATTAACACACACTCTTCTGGCATTATTTACAATACATAAAAGCTTGTAATTATACGAGTATGTTGGAAACCAGTAGAGACGTTATCATTCAGTTAAGCTGATTGCACTCAGCGAGAGTCCCCGCAGAGTTGGGTCGATCTACATAGGCTGATGGTGTCTTTGGGAACAGTTATCATGTTCTTAGGCATTCAGTGTATTTGTGTATACTCTATATAGTGCCTGGTCATCACCAGTATATTAAGGTTACAGTCACCAGTATGTTAACTAGTTCCTAGAAACCTCCAGGTAAGAGTGCAGTTTGTATTAGAGGGACCGTGGACAGGTGTTCCCCATATATTTTCAATCAAGTTTATGGAGAATACAATATGTGCATTTACTGTTATGCTTTCAGACCGCCAGATATTTCATGTGTACCTTATTTTTCAACTGATTGCCACATTTAAGGAGCATAAAAGTGGTACTTTTAGACGTTAAGTTAGCCATTCTGAAATAACACTGCCATTAGAAGATAGCTGTTAACTTTTTGCGCTGTGTTAATAAACACATGCAAGCAAAAAAAAAAAAAAGGAAAGAAATAGAAGCTTGTTACATGATTGATGGAAGGGTCGTAAATGTTTCTTTGAAGTTGACCTAAAAAGAAGTTTTAGTGTGACAGTAAGGGGTTTGGATGCCAAGAAAGCTTACCCCGTTTGATCATGATCATTTGGAGAAATGTATTGCCCAGTTCTCTCTGAGTGGCTCTATAGATTTGGATGGATGTATGGAGCAGTTTATTGGTAGTTATACAGGGATGAAGTCATCTAGACACAGGTAATGCTTCTTCAAAGAAAAAAACTATTGCTACTTAAAAAAGCTTCTGGTGTCTGTTCATCCGTTTGCCAGGAGCTACTGTATAAATTAAGATGGATTTTCGTGTAACATATTAGGCACAGTAGTAGGAAAAGTGTTAGGTTAAAATTTGTTTTATTTTGTATGTATTTGGGCATGAAGAAGGGGAGATACCTTTGAAGATAGGACAAGCAAGCCTCTCTACCCCCTACCCTCCCACCCTCCCCCGGCTCTCCATTACCTTGGGTTAACTATTTTATTGGCCACATTTACTGTAAGGATGACAAGAAATCAATTTAATCTGATTGTCGTATTGACCGTTTTTACAGATGAACATGAACAGTTAGGAAAATTGGGTTCCTTGTTTGCCTAGGATAATGGACATGAAAGACATATCTGGACTCTCCTGATAGTCGTAGAATTTACTAGAATTATACATAAAGTGTACTAAAAAGTAGTATATCCGGTTCTACCGTTTTATAGTGCAGTGAGGAGAAAGGCCTGAAAGGAAGCAAAAAAAATCTGCATTGAATATCCTCAGATATCTGGAAGTAGGCAGAAGCCTCGTGGAAGATTTAGGGTAGAGTTGGTATTATTACCAGGTTGTTCTCTCTTCACTCTTCTCTTATTTGTTATAGACTACAGGGTGCATGTAGTGAGTTTATTAAATTATGGATGAAATGCAGGTCTTCTGATAGGAGGAATTTATCATTTTTAAAATTTTATATATTTATTTAGTTTTTTTTTTCTTTTTTGTTTCATAAAAAAGGGACAAACTAATAGCTACCTTTACTTTAGTGGATCTCCATGGATATATCCTGAATTCATGCACGCCCAAATTTTTGGGTCTTAAAATTACGACCGAATCTCTGCCCTGTAAGGTACTGGATACAGGATTGACCCACCAAAATGAATTTTCCTCATGAAAAGGGCAATTTTCTCCAATGCACAAATTAAGTTTGTGAACACCCACTTTCAGGCATTACTGCAAACCCATGACGTAGTGGCGCACGAGGTCTACGGGGAGGACGCCATTCGCGTGACACCGCCTCCACTGATGCCGTACCTGAACGGAGACACAGATGCTGATGTGGCGCCTCAGTTTGACGGAGAGATGGAGAATGTGACGAGGGTTCGTCTGGTACAGTTCCAAAAAGCTGCTGATGAGGCTATGGTGAGATTTCTTTAATGATTTTTTTAATAACTTTATTCACTCAAAGAAAAAAAGATAATATACATATATAATGAAATATTTAAACAGATAATCAAAAATTAAATGCATATAATACTGGTGATAATTACGTTAATTAATGATGCTGTATAAATAAGATGATGTTGTACAAGTCTGATATGCTGTTTAGGATTATGGGAGTGATATGAAGATACAGAATGAAGTATAAAAATACATATTTAGAAATTTTATGAAACAGTAGACTTGGAGTAGATTTTAATTTCATCCAAATATATCACAGAAGTAAAGTTTATTTTACATAAAGTGGAGTGAATTTTGATATGAAACCAATATTGAGCATTGTAAATTATTAACATATGTAAGTAATCAAAGTGATAAGTTGTTTTAATTCAACATTTTGAAATATATATTTTGAAATTATATATATACGATTTGTTTTGCAGTATTTAGGTTTTTCCAACTTGTTCTTTTCTTGTTCAATATTGATGTGGTTGTTTGCATTTTATTCATTAATTCAAACAGTAGCACTTTTGAGTAGCCCTTTTCTATTTCTTATAGAAAGAAAAAACACCATCTTGCAATTTTACCGCTTGATTATAGATATTCCCTTTAGACACTTGTGCAACCTACTGTGTTACATTACTTTAAGTGTATTAATAAACATAACTTTCTTGTGTAATCACCAGTATATATTTCCATCACTGTCACCGCCAGGGGCGGATCCAGAGATATTTTCTGACAGTCTTCCAAATTATCTTTGTTGATCCATTCTCCATTTTTGACTGTCTTCCGACAGAAAATATTAGATGCCCGACATTGTTAACTTGAAAATCTAACCGTCTTCCGGAAGACCCAGAAGATGACCTAAATTCGCCCCTGACCTCCAGGGTTTATCATCACAAAGTCCTTTAGATCAACATTTCCACTTAATCATTTATAAACTGAGAATATTCAGCAAATTTTATTTTCAAGTTTTTGGTTTAACATGTCCACATTAATAGTGCAGTGTGCTGAAACTCTGTATCAGGCCTTAGTTGAACTGGTGCTACATAAAAATGTTATTTTTAGTATTTATTACATCATATATTCTCTTTTAGTCTTTGAAATGGCCCTAGATTGGTTTAATTGGATTTTCATTTACTAATTTAGTTGACTATAGTTTTGCAGTTTGTCTTTAGCCAAAGTAAAAAAAAAAAATCTATAGCTTGCACCTGCTTTGAACTTTTCGTGTTCTTTATTTTGTTGTGTTATTTTCACACAGGGCATCACTCTGAAAATAAATGAGCATGGACGATGTGTTGTAGCACGCATTTTGCATGGCGGCATGGTTGACCGGCAAGGTGGGTGGAGAACATGGGACAGGTAACCAGGGGAAACAGCCAATCAAATTTACCCATCTGCATGGACTTCATCCGTCTTTGTTTTCTGAGCACCTTCTTCCCTTTACTTTATTTGTGGACCTTACAGGGATGTGGTTTGAGTGAAATTAGTGACAGCTTTAATTTGTGTCTTGTGAATTTCTCCCATTCATCAATGTTCTTTTATTAACACTACTTTTACATGCACCCTTGAAAGCTTAATTTTGATTGGCTGTTTCTTTGTCATGGTTACACTATCCACAACTATTTAATAAGTTTTAGTTCTTTTGGTAAATTATGACTGTTACATATTCCTGTCTAGGGCATCACATTAAAAAGATTAGATGATGGCAGATGTATGGTGAGCCGTATACTACATGGTGGTATGATACACAGGCAAGGTGAGAACAAGGTCAGATAAAATTGGGTCAAGGTCAGATGGAATTCGGTCATTTATAGGTTAAAGATGGCAGCAGATGTTTGAGAAACTCCATACAGAGACTACATATCAATTTATTTCACTTCATTTCAGTGTTATACATAGCTAAGTCAAAGGTTAAAAGAAATTAGATAAGGGTCATACAGAAAAAGCCCATAACCTATTTTTAAAATTTTAGATTAATGTATTGATATGTTACTGAATATAGTTATTAGATTAGTATGTACTGAGTTATTTGAAGTCAAAATGTGTTGGTAATTTTGATTTTTCAGGGTAAGTCATTTTTTAACACAATGAGAATTACTTTCTTTTTCTATTATTAATACAAATATATTGCAATCAAACAATAGGAATACGAAATTTTCTTTCTTGTATCCCTGGTGGACCAGTAGATTTACCTTGATTGACTTATATTATATTATATTTTGGGTTCAGGAACTTTGCACGTCGGAGATGAAATAAGAGAAATTAATGGGATCAGTGTGGCCAACCAGCAAATAGAGCACTTACAGAGACTACTGGTGGGTACCTCAAAGTTTTATAATACTGGAAACAACAGGTGTCTTCATAACTGGATCAAGCTTCAGTTTGGTACTGGGTATAGTAATGACTCGGATCTTTGCAGTAGGGAAAATAGTGGATTTTAACAAATGAAGCTGTATTTTTGCGTGTCATAAAATCATTTGAATTTGAACAACCCTATTGACTGGTAGCAATTAACAAAAATGAAAAACTGGTTTGTCTTGAGTTAATCAGCAAGTTTAGACCTATTTTCATGCTTAACTTATTTTCTGAAGCAGGACGTTTGGTCTTAACTTGATTCAGTTATGAACATGCCTGTGGTTGAAGGAAGCCATCACTCCATTGGACTTGGAGTGAATAGGATGAAGAATACAAAACTTATTTTTACTTGTGAATACTTTTCAATGCGTAACAAAAAAGTTTCATGGATTAAAAATGATAAAAATAGAACTTTCAAATGTTTAAAGTTTTCATGGTATGTTTTAAGTGACAGGTTTCGCATTTCGGTGGAGCATTTTGGTTGATGAAATCTAAGACTGGGTTCCCATATATTTAGATCGATCTATCCGGATCGACCTAACTCCTTGGGGGTTCACGCTAAATTGCTGTTTGGTTCCGAGAGCCGAGCGCACACAAAAGTTGATTACCCCCTTACAGCTTTTAGTAGGCGGGACAGACATTTAAGCCAGTCAGGCTGACAACAATCTAGTGAGACTCACCACGGGGATAGATTGATCTTAAAATCTATGGGAATGCTCTCTAAAATTTGTTTGGTCTATAAATTGTTACTGAGATGCAGGTCTTGCATTTGATGCTTAATTCAGTATGTTGCATAGATAGTGTGCATTTTATTCTGCAGGGTTGCCAGCATTGCAGTACTCATAACCCGTACATTTGTGGCTAGAAAAATATTTTTGTGATTACTTAATTATTAACATGAATGTAAGGAATAGAACAACAGAAAGTGGTGTCAATCAATCTAGAATACTGCACAGGGTATATGGGTTCAGTTGGCAACCAATATCTCTCTATTTCAACGTGAACTTCTTTTGGCATGTGCTAGCTTTTGTAAGCATGTATGAAGATTTCACCCAATGGCTAGGAGTTACCATGGTAACGATGGAAATGTAATATCGCATCGATCTCTTACTGGAGCTTCGCAGATTGAATCACAGATTGAATCACAATTGCATCTTCTTCTCAGTTAAAACCATAGAAACATTTAAAGTTTTCCTTAAATTTTTCATTTTGATAGCTAGAAGCTACTGGTGTTCAAATAATACTGAAATAAACATGATTTTTACATTTTTTAATTGTCAACTCGTCATAGATTTGGCTTCAGATTTGATTTGATTTGTAGACATTTGGCTTAAACGAAAAAAGCTTTCTTTGTAACATTGTATTATCCATGTGCCGGAATTGGTTCAATGCATACATACTAAAGTTTATTTGAAAAGATTGGATTTTTGGATTTTTTCCATATTTGAACAGCCCTTATTTGGAATCTAGTTCAAAATTTTGTTTTGGCCCGTCAAAAATAGAAAACAGCATCTCTGATGTTAGAACTGCATGTTTTCAGGGGGTTCGGATTTTGCATGTTAAGATTGAGAATGCATATATATCACTAATAGATTGTTTTGCACAAATATGTCATTTTATTTCAGGTCCAGTAAAAATATTGATAAAATGATCTGGTTAATGTTTTTGTCTGTTTGTTTCAGGTTTGCATGGCTTGACTTGTTGAATGGACATGATATTATCTTGTTAATAATGTTACTAAACATTGCAAGAAATGCAGCAGATTTTGTACTTTAGCGAAACCAAAAACAGAACTTATGATACAATTGTTTGAAATAGTTTTGAAAAAATGAGAAATTCCAAATGATTCACCTTTTAAGTTATTGAAATTCTTGGATGAATTAAGAACAAACAGACAATAAAAGATACAAAAAAGTCAGAATGTCCATTGAGTCAGACTGAAAAACAAAACTTGATCCAAGTGAAATAGTTTGCTTCTTTAAATTCTGAATTGTTAACAGTTATTGATTGAAATTGTAGAGTATCAGGCTGAGAATGTTATGTACAAAGTATTGCCTATACATCTATGATCTGTTTGTTTTCCCCAGAGGAATTTGCATGGTGATGTAGTAATGACAGTAGTTGCTTCAAATGATCGCTGCTTTTATGAAAGTATAGCGGATAATTCGCCACTCATTGCAGAGGTAGGTTTCCATGGCAACCGCATACAGGCATGACTGTGGTAGTCTGTCAAGATGTGATTTTTTTAGGGGGGAGGGGTAGAGATGGGCCCCTTCCATCCCTTCCTAAGAGGTGCACGTCATAGCATGTCAATTATGGGGTGCTTTTGTGTGGCACAGGTGAGAATTAAAGGAGGGCTACAGGTTTTCTGAGCTACAGGATGTATATATACTTTTTTGGTCAAAAAGTATTTCAAATATTTATTATTTTATAATTATAATTGAATTGTTTGAAACATTTGATTTGTTTTCTGAACCATTTAGTACGACAAAATTCATGGGGCCCTCCAAAAGAGGACCTCCAAATGTATTAATTTTGTTTCCGATTAATCTTTGCACCTACCAGTTGCTTAATTTTCATTTCAAAAGTTCAGAAATCCTTGCTGGCCCTCCTTCACACCTGGCACGTGTCGCTTGTTTCTCTTCCAGTGTCCTCTGTGGCGTAACAGCATGTGGTGGCTTTTGTTTGTTGTTTGTTTGTTTTTCTTATTAATTTCTTATATCACCTTGGTTTGCTGTCGTTTTATTACAGCGAGATTCACATGGCAGTGTCACGTTGAAGATTGTCCCTAGCTATCGGCACCAACCCACCCAGTGCGAGGTAATACCCTATAAATAGCTATGATGTAATGCTCTATAAATAGCTATGATGTAATGCTCTATAAATAGCTTTGATTTAATGCTATATAAATAACTGATATAATGCTCTATAAATAACTATAGTGTAATGCTCTGTGAATAACAATGATATAATGCTCTATATAAAAGTATGGTGTGATGCTCCATTAATTGTTGACATAATACCCCTTAGCTATGAATAATTATGATGCAGTGCTCTTGAAGTTACTGTGATATAACACTAATTCAAAACCCAAAAGATAACAGATTTTACCCCTTAATAAACTGATATAATTATCCTTATAAATTTTTTATTCTATAAAGCAATAGAGATAGCTATTACACATTGCCCTGAAGGTTATAAATATGAAATCCATGTTCTATACAAATATGATAATCATTGGCCATGTTGAGAAGGAAAGCAAAATATGAGTTATAAATACCCCAGAAATTATGCTAATATTACCATGGGCATTTCTCCTTAATCGTGAGATGAGGAAGATTTTTCATCATTAAGGCAATTAAGCTATGCAACTGGTAAATGTCTTTAATAATAGTATCCTATTTAAGTAAATACCTTAATTGTCCAATTCTGGTCTGTGATAGTTTAACAATTTTTTGTCGTGTGACTTTTCAGATTTCTTAAATAGGAGTTTTGGCTGACCCTGTCAAGTCTTTATTAACTGCTAAAACTGCTTTATTTACTTATTTATGGGTTTTTATTTATTTATCTACTTATTTATTTATTGTAATTTGTATTTGCAGTTGATACTGTCATGTGTCTATATGTTTAAAAGGCAGAAAAGTTCCTTTCATCTGATATAATGCTGCATAAATAAGCCTAAATTCTGGGATTGTAATTTAAAAAATAGATTTATGTGTGTGTTATGGTACCACTGACAAAACTTTTCTCTCGCTCTTCCATCTAAATGTGCGATTAATTTGGTTCCAACTTTTGCTGTTTGTCGTCTCTCAGTACAGAAGGTCAACTTTGGAATGACCTCAACTACATGTATTGCTATTTTCTTCTTAACAATAAATGGCCTTCTTAGTTGAATAATGTTAATCCACTCTTTGAGACTCTATTTGTTTCTTTTGATGGTAGCAGTGTTTTGCTTCGTGTATAACATTTAACTGGGGACTGGATAGGGGCTGGATCTCCTTCTACTTGGTGTTTTTATCTTATTTAGTTAATAATTCTTGCCCTTTTTATTCACGTTTTTTTCTGTTCTAAATTAACACTTTTTTCCAAGTACTGTAGCATTTATATGTGTTCATACCCCCTATAAAGAGAAGTGGGTTCTTCCTTGTCAATATAAATGAGTTGCAAATGGTTGGGTCCATTTTGTTATTTGAGGTTTGTGAGTTGCATATGTTTCATCATAATTGACGTTGTACCAGACATTTTATTTCTGATATTCAAGTTAAAAAGAACATCATTTTTGAGAGTCTCAATCCTAATTGACACATATGAAAAAGACAATGTGCAATATTTATACAAAATGTCCACAATTTATAACATTTATGTGATTGAACTTAACATAGCTTTGAAAAAAATGTACTTTTATTTGTATTTTTTTCCTTTGGTGAATAGATAAACTAAAGAAAAATGTTGGAATAAATGACATAAATATGGCAGATATCCTACCCTAAAACAACAGATCTTCACAGAATGAAATCACCCTTCTCTATTCCATCATCATTTTAACCTACCACTGGCCTCCATTTGCCTTTCAGATTTACGTCCGGTGCCTTTTTGATTACAACCCAGTAGATGATGAACTCATCCCCTGCCAGCAAGCTGGCATATCCTTTGGACGAGGCGACATCTTACAAGTGATCAGCAAAGACGACCACAACTGGTGGCAGGCACGCAAATGGAACGCAGCACCCAGTGACCCTGCCGGGCTGATCCCGTCGCCAGAGTTGCAGGAATGGAGGACGGCATGCCTGGCCATTGAAAAGGCAAAACAGGAACAAGGTGAGGGGAAAATCAGGGGGCGGATCCAGAGATTTTTTTTGGACAGATTTCCAAATTATCTTTTGTTGATCCATTCTCCATTTTTGACCATCTTCTGACAGAAAAAAAAATTAGATGTTAGTTAGATTTTGTTATTTTTGAATTTTAATAATATTACTTAAATCATCACTTTTTTATGCAAAACAACATTGTCTCTCTACTTCAGCCAACTGCTCGTGGTTTAGCCGTAAGAAGAAGCATTACAAAGACAAATACCTGGCCAAACACAATGCAATCTTTGACCAACTGGACCTGGTCACTTACGAGGAGGTGGTCAGGCTCCCGGCCTTTATGAGGAAAACTCTGGTTTTATTAGGTAAAGTTTTCTAGGCCCCATTCAGAATAGGGAGACTAACTAGTCCTAGGGTCAAATATGGATGATCCCCTTGAATTCTTCCCCATGGGATATCTATTCTGTGTCTGTTAGTAGGTCCCCATATTTGACCCTAGGACTAGTATCATTTAAACCACGGCTAGCACGTAGAACAAAAGACTAGGCAGTGCTGTATGCGACATACAAGCACATCATGTACGAGTGCGTTCCATGGTCTGTTGCACTTCCATTCCTCACTAGTGTAGTAGCCAATCAGAGGCCGTGGTTTAAGCTAGATACAACACTCGTCGCCGAGCTGTACGTGAAAATTACTCGTGTATTGTCTCGCCTGCGGCTCACTAATACACTCGTAATATTTCACGTACAGCTCGGCGACTCGTATTGTATCTACATGTATCACATAATTCCTTCATTTTGACACCAACCCAGTGGCATCTTATAATATAAACAAACAACTAGTGATATCAGCCAAAAGAAAACTATGAATTAAAAAAATAAACAATTCATTCTTTTCAACTATTTGTTACTTTGTAAAACTGAAAAAGAAATTATGTATATATTTATGTCCCCAGGTGCTCATGGCGTTGGTAGGAGGCATATCAAGAATACACTTATAACCAGCCACCCAGACAGATTTGCCTACCCCATCCCACGTATGTATTTATATACTGTAGATTCTGAAATAAATATGTATCTTTATGCCTACAGTAACTACTACCAGTATGTATCCTCTGCAGTGTAGAGTGATCTTGATATATGGTAATTACTTGGAAGAAGTAATGTCTAAAATGCTGGTGTAAAATGTTTGAGAAGTCGTTGGTTTCATGTCAAAAATTACTCCGTTGTCATTGTCTGATATTGGAAATCCTGAAAATTTAGTAAAATACGATGATTTATGCTTGTAATATTTCTAAAAAAAAAGTTGTTTGAAATTTTTTTCAGTAATCACCATATACTGTTTTTTATGATATTAGTTTTCAGTCTCTTTTATTTCATATTTAGGCCTTTACTTTGGTTTCAGTATCACTAACAAGGGGCTTGATATTTTGTTTATTTTTTAATTCTGATAATTTTGCCTCTGATTTGATAGCTGTGAAGACTGTCAAAGCTGTTAATGCAACATATTTGTATTTTCTTATATTTTACAATTTTTTTTTATTGTCCACTTAAGCTCTATTGCATACTATGTAAAGTTAAATATTCTGAATAACATTTCCGTTTAACATCCATAGTCTGCTTCATTTATTTTTTCTCATATTATACTTTTCGTAAGATGAGATGAGGGGGATGGTCAGCCAAGTATAATGCAAAAAATGTATCTTAAGACAACCACTAGACTTATTATAAGGAAAATGGTGCCTTTTTTTTCTGTTAGCATAAAAACAATTGCTGCCTATTAGACTCATTTCTATTCAAGTTCTACAATTATATGATTAAGTTGTAGGCTTAGATCAAGTGGATTAAGTTTTGCATGCCTGGGAGGCATTTTCTAAACAAAAATTTTAAAAATGTAAGATTATTCCTATATACCACCAACAAATCTTACGCGAAGGCTTAAGTTGGCTAAATGTAGCTTATTTTTTAATCAGGCTTAGAACAATAAGCATTGAAAAATACAATAAAAATATCTTGGGCAATTCAAATTAAGGCTGAATTTGTATATTTAATGTCACCATTCAACATTGCATGTATTAAAAGGATTCAGCAATGACAATTGCCTGTTAGTTTAAATGTTTGACATTAAGAGTTACAATAATATATTAAATGTTTGCAATAAAAATTCAAAGTCTACTAAATACCACATCTAGTAGTGATATAGAGCTGTTGATAGTAGTAGGAGTTGTTCTTTTTGTATTACAGACACTACTAAGGCATGCAAGAGAAGTGAAGAAAATGGCAAGAAATGTTTCTTTGTCACATTTGCATGCACAACTATTCTCATTAAAATTTGTCAAAATAATAATAAGGATTCCGGTGGAATAATGTGCATTACCTATAACACCAAATTTGGTTTGCAATGTTTTTCATCATTTTTTTAGTGTTTTACAATGATTGTATACAATGTATCCTCTGTAATGTTACACAATTAAGCTGTGTGTAGTTACATATTAACAGAAAAAAAAGGTCTTTGAATTTGGTAATTAAATATTATGAACTTGTTAGGGACCCCATTATGTTTTTTTTTTTTTTTTCCTTATTGAAAAGCATTCATTATTTATACAGTGCTCTTCATAGCTTAGTGTTTAACGTATAGGTGAAATATGAATTTCTTGATGTCAAGTATAAATCTTAATTTTTAAATATTATCCTTTTTTTTTCAGATACGACCAGATCCTCCAAAAAAGATGAAGAAAATGGCAAAAACTATTTCTTTGTGACACACGAGCAGATGATGCGGGACATTGCCAACAATGAGTACTTGGAATACGGGACCCACGAAGATGCCATGTATGGGACGAAACTGGAAACAATTCGTCAGATACATGACCAGGGACTTATGGCGATATTAGACGTCGAACCTCAGGTGATTAAAATAATGATGAATTATGGAAGATATTCATCACTGTTTTTGCATTGCTCAGATTAACTTGTGGACAACTGCTGAGAAATTTAAGTGATGGCAGGACTTTGTGAGATAGTGAGATAAATATTTCAGCAGCAAAGAATGAGAGAAGAAATACCCCATTACTTGATGTTTGGTTTGAAGCTCTGAGTAAAAGTACTATTTCTGACATAATTTACATCATTACATACATTTTATTTATAAACGTGTAATGTTTGAACCCTTTGAATCTGGTGATAACATACAGATTGCACTATTGGTAAAGGTAAATCAACAGAAGAAAATGATTTACATATATTCACTTGAATATTTAATTTTTTTCCAAATAGAATTACTTTTATTTTATTTCAAATACTGTAATTTGATTCCTAGCCTGTGTAATGCCTCTAAACAGTTTCATGGAATCTTTATATGTCTTTTTCAACTCGGTATAGTATGTATCTGCATTATTGGTCCCATACTTATGTTTAGCCTTATTTTATCATATTATCGTAAGCAGTGTGTTCAAAGAGAGGCCATCCATCGGAGCCAGTCTTTTATCTGAACCTCTTTTCACGATCACAAGCACCCGTGAGAATCTTTATATTGAAGAAAAATTACTTTATTTTTTAGAAAAGCATGCATAAGTTGTTTCTCATATTAATAAAAGTTGACTTATCTTTTTCCAGGCATTGAAAGTTCTGCGCATTGCAGAGTTTTTTCCCTTTGTAGTATTTATAGCTGCTCCGGACATGATTTCATTTCATGAGGTAAACAGATTTGATCACTGTGTCATCGCTGTGGCAACTGTAACTATGGCAACTGTAACCCTAGCAACAAAAACAGCAAATCCCCCCCCCCCCTTTCCCTTTATTTTCTTCCTTTGTAGATGCTGTTTTGTGACCCCCTAATTGTTGTGATGCACAAGGTGTGGTGCACTGGTGGGGTATTTGCTTGAGGAATGGGGTGGAGTGGGGTGAGGGTGGGGGTAAGGGGGGGGGGGGGCAGGTCAGAGAAGGGGCCGCGGCGAAAGCCCGAAGGTTTAATAGCCCGA